GGCTACACGCTTCTTTCAGGATTTAGTCGTTTCCTCAGGAAAAAACATCGAATCCTTGCAGGATCTTGATCCTATCTTCCAAGGATCCGGGGCTGAAACATCAAAGATTTTCCCTAGGGTTATGTTCTCGCACATAGTTAACCTTCTCTGGTACTGATTACAGGACAGCTGAACTTCTCAAGAAAGAATCTTTCGTTTAAATATCCAAGAAAATTTTTACAGGGCAGATTACAGGTTGTGAAAAATATGAACCCTATAGGTCTCTACTCTCATCATTATCTATAGCTTAAGCATAGAAAAGATCTAATAACATTAATTAACACAGCCAAGCAATCAAAAACCAATACATTGAATCGATGCAAGATTCACAAAAAATGATCATATCGAAAGAAATAAAGTGAAATACAAAATGGGACAATATTGTTTAGAAATTATTTTAATCTTTTTGATCTAAAATATTTTTCATTTTCATTTGAACAAGATTCTTTTTTTTATTCATGAACCGTAATAATCAATTATTATTTTACAAATAATAAAAACAATAAATTGATATTAATCTGTCTATTTCATTTGATTTTGATGATACGTGTCTATATTGAATGCAGAAGAAGAAATTCTAATTCAAGACAACCAATAGAACTACATATTTGCTATTTGGAACGATCTATAAAATTCTCTAAAAACAAAACGATGACGATTCAATAAAGGTTACGATTGTATTAAACTGATTATTTAAATTCATACTCACATCCTAGCTAGTGTCGTAGCAACCAATAAAATTAGAAGAGGTTAAACTCTCTAGTACAGTTATCGAATGACGAATCGAAATAATATTAACAGAGTCAAGGAAAATCTATGAGTTTAAAATGCACAGAAGTTTTTATTCGATACTATATGTTTATAGTCAAAAACGATTTCTGATTTGTTGATAGCGTCGAACTGTGCATGAAATAAACTAGATTCGAGCTATCTCTAAAAGCTCTTAATAGATGAATTGTTTTCGATCAAAATTGTTCGTTAATCTGATTGTGACCGAATGAAAACAATTAAGCAAACTACTTGATTGAAGACGCATTCGGCAACATTTGAGTATCAGGATGCGAGTAATAGGGAAATGAAGATCCACAATTACATTCAAAATTGTTATACAGACGAAAATTCCATACTCATTCAAAATTACATTTTGCTCTTTCAAGTCATTTTCGACATTTTCCAATCTTGTTGTTGAGGTCTTTATTCTTTTTTGGATGATCGTTGTCTTCTTTTTCTTAGATTTGCATGCTATACTGTACATACGGGACTTCTTTTCAATTACCAACCCCTTCTTTAATACGCGAGAATAATAATGAAAACACGACGACAACATGCAATAAATCATCGCAATCTGAAGAATAAAACATTAGCGAAATTGTTCTCGACAATCACGTGAAGCAGTGCTACACATCATGCATGACTTTTTCAGGACTTTTCTTTTCAATATTTTCATTTTCGGTCTTTGATTCGTGAATTAGTAAGAAGAGAGTATTACAATCACGTCCTGTATTTTAATTGTTAGTGTTAATAGAGTATGATGACACTTAAAAAGAGAAGTCAAAATTTAGCATCATAAGCTCATCAAAGTACACACAAAGAAGCGTCAATGTCGGATACTGTCACGAGTGATGAAATAAGCTTCGCACTTCATTCGTACGCATATACGTATCTAAGAATAGCATGAAAATCATCTTGCCAAAGGAGTAATACGTTCTGATCGCCGCCACCATAATATTCGATTCTTCACCAAACGACGAAAACGAGGTGATACAAACATGAATAGATAGAACCGTCCCTAAAAGTGCACGACAACAAAAATAAATACCATATTTCATAAAACACTTACTCCATAAGCGAATGAACCAAAAAGATAGGTGATGTTGGCCGCCAAGACCTCTTTAATTTTTCTGTCAGCATTCTTTTGAGTATTTACCGTAATCAATCCATAAGCACTATCAATACCGTACGGAGTAATGCCTATTAACGTAAGCAAAATTTGAATGAATACTATAATTGTTAATTGTCGATCAGCATGTCGACGTAGAAGAACAGTTGTTCTTCTTATGTTTCGATAAGCCAAAAATCCAAATGTCATCATTATTAAAATATGCACAACACAGAGTATAATACAAATGAAAAATATAGTATAGGCAAAAAACGCATTACTGCGATAAATACATACACCTATAATTGATGACATGTCCTGATAATATAGCCAAAGGGTACCATGGAGCCACCAGATAATAACAATGGCCAAAGAAGCTCTATATGCAATTTTAATATTGCTCCATTGACGAAACCAGACATGTTGAGATGTAGTAAGAAACTGATCGATAGTAGCCAAGCATGCACAAGTCAAAGGAATGGCACAAAAACTTGCAAGAAAAAAAAAGCGAAGCTTACACCAAACGACAGAAATACGTGTTATGTCAATGTCCAGATAGGCAGCAACAACAAGTGGACCAAAAGCAGTTATAAACTGTCCACATTCGTGTATAGCAGCAATAATAAAATAAAATGTACACGGAGTCTTTCGGTAATAGGATACGGTTGTTAAAATGAACACCTGCATAACACTACCCATAAGACCCATAATCACGATAAACAAACCGACATAGAGCACAATTAATCGATTAATCAAGACCAATGACGTCATGACTTGTTTTGGCGATAAACTCACTTGTAATTGAATGTCACTGTAAAATTCTTAGAAACATTAGAAGTATGTATATAATGTATATATAATTACATAAGATTTCATTACTGAAAGTCACCCTCTCTTTCGAGGAGCCGATTTCACGCTAGGTGTATTGACATCGTCTGAAAACTTCAATTTATATGGAAATTATAATGAAGAGGCTATAATAAAAATTTCAGTTCTATATCACGATGTTTGAGAGAGAAATATCCATCAAACAACGGACAAAAATAGCTCATTTAGTATCTCGAAATTCGCTGCCGATGCTCATTCTATATATTTAATTTTTTGTTTGAACGAGCATGCTAGCATCCAGGGCATCACTGAGACTCTTTAATTTGCATATTTTTTTTGGGGCCTAGAAAATGCATGAGAAGTTTAATATATCGAAAAGTTCTAAAAAATGGCGCGCTATAATTATAAAAGTACTCTTTTATATAATATTAACAAAACTTAATAAAAAAGAAAAACTTTGTCATGTCTTGCATATTGACATGCGCTTTCAAACATAAAAAAAAAATAATTGACTATAATGATGCGCCTTCGAAGACTCTTGGATATGCGATCAGAAAGCATACACAATGAGAAAGTTAAAAAAGATTCCCTGTTTCTTCTGGAAAGAGCATATTTTTCAAGCAACTGATAATAGAATTCATCAAAAGCTTTGGCAAAAAAAAATTAGGTACCCAATAAAACTCTGTATCATTTATGAAAAATCGGGCATCGAGCTATCCTTCCATACATTCATCACAATTTCGATAATTCTAACAAAAATTAACATTAAACAATAAAGAAAAGAATACCGAATAGATCATATTTTATTATTGAGACGTTTCGTCAGATACTGTTGACTTCGTCAGTCAAAATAAAATGAAGTTACATGAAAAAGAACAGTTACATATATAACATGAACACTGTTATAATTAGACGAGAGAAACAAAAAAGAACAAAAAGAAGAATAAGATAATAAAACGTTTTATTATCTTATTTTTCTTTTTGTTCTTTTTTGTTTCTCTCGTCTAATTATAATTATAACAGTGTTCATGTTATATATGTAACTGTTCTTTTTCATGTAACTTCATTTTATTTTGACTGACGAAGTCAACAGTAGCTGACGAAACGTCTGAATAATAAAATATGATCTATTCGGTATTCTTGTCTTTATTATTTATTGTTAAATGTATCTACCGAATTAAAACAAATAATAATTATTCTATAGTTTTAATATTTTTGCAAAAGTAAAAAAAC